GGAGCAAAAGGTGGGCACACCTCTCTCTGCTCTCCCCCCAGGCCATCACAGCTGTTCCCGACAACATGTGCAGCCACATCCACCCACACACATTCCTGCTGCCTGCCCCGGGAATGATGTGTCAGGTTTGTGGTGCCTTAGGTTCATTGACTCACCCAGTCCTCATGGCTCCATGATGTATCCCTGTTATTCCCATTTTGCAGATGAGGAAACTGAGGTACCTGAGTGCCAGAGCCTGCACAGGGAAGAGTTGGGAGTTGGTGTTGGACAGCCCAACGTCAGAGCCCAAGCTGCCTCTACTTTTTATTCCTAAGCTTCTCTCTGGTCCTCCCCACAGCCCTGTGGTACTTCTTACCTCTGTTCCAGGAGAGGAAACTGAGGCTGCCCAGAGCTGGTTAGTGCCTGCAAAGCCCAGAGCCTTTTCAGCACCTGCTACTGGAGTCCATGTTCAGGCCTGGGAGGTAACACAAGGGGTCAAGAAGCCACTGTCCATGGTTAGAAAATAGTCCAACCTCCTGGCAGCAGATCACAGCCACCTGGAAGACCTGGGGAGGTGGTCCTGGGTGTAATCACCCTGCCTGCTGGTGAGTACCTGCACTGTGGGCAGCAACCTGCCAGGTACCCAGTGGCCACCAGACATGTCCCTACCTGGGGACCTCCCCATGGCTGAACAAAGGACCAGAGCCTGTGCTTTGGAGCTGCTTGGAAGTGTCCTTCCCAAAGAATACTAGAGCATGTGGTCCCTGCTGTGCCCGAGCCACACCCGATGCACCTGGAATCCTCGGGCCTCTGAGGGGCTGGCAGAAAATGGGGCTCCAGGAATACCCACTGGAGTCCTTGCCCAAGCTTCCAACCTGGGGACGAGGGTCCGGGGACCCTGGGAAGCCAGCAGCCAACACCTTCAGCTAAACACTAGATTAACCAACAATGATTAATGGATGCATCGTCAGTCCCTAGAAACTTCTAAAGTGGCTCTTTGGCAGCAGCTGGCCCCTGGACTCTATTATCTCTGATGTTCTCCCGTCTGATGACCTGGGTGGCTCTCCTGGCTACTGTCATCTGGGAGCCCTGCTCAGGCAGCAGAGGGGGTCAGCAGAAGAGGGGGGCACAGTGTCCCAACTCCTATGTGAAGGGGGACCTCCCGCCAGGACGGGTGGGTGGGTGATAAACTGGCTGTGATGTGGCCATGGGATGGGTTGTGAGCAGCTGTTTACAATCACGTTTCTGGCAACTCTTGGATGCCACCCAGAAAAGCTTACAGGATTATTTCCAGTGTCACCTGCACATGTTCACATGATTGTGGGGGACACGTGCCAACGTGTGAGCCACGGTTGTTTCTCCGTGGTGGGACTTCTTCTTCACCTAGTTCTGTATTTTCCGACCTGTCTTATGACCCCCGGGTGTTTCGTATGTAAGGGTGAATGTGACGAGAAGGGAACACCTGCAGCAGACCCGACCTTAGGAGTCAGACAAACCTGGGTTCAAACACCAGCCGCACAACCTGCTAGTTGGATGATCTTGGACACCATGGGCCACTCGCAGCCTGACTTGCCTCATCTGCAAACAGGGCATGAGGACCGAGACTGTCACACAAAGTCCCTAACTCATGCTGTCAGCTGTCCTTGGAAGGACAGGTGCCCTCCAGCTCATGAAGTGTCCTCTGTCCCCCGGGGATGGCCCTGCCTGGCAGGCAGCCTCCTGCAGAGGGGACAGCTTTGCTCCAGCCAGTCTCTGCTGGGGCTGGTAGGGGAGAGGAGGGTTCCTCTAGGAGTCTGTTGCAGAGGGAGGTCAAGACTTGTGAAACTCCTGGTTGCTTCCTTCCTCCTTTGAAAGAGCAGTTGGTCCCAGCTATGGAAGAGGTTGCAGGAGGCAGGCTCTCCAGACTGTGCACGTGGGCGGCTGCTCTCCTCCCCTACTCGTCTTGGCCAGAAGTCATCTCTGACTCTGGATGTGTGCTCCCTGCCCTTCCTGAGGAATCCAGGCATCTTCTTTGTCTTAAGGAACATCTCTATTGAGATATAATGCACATACCACACAAGTCACCCATTTAAAGTGTTAATTCAGTAGTTTTTAGTATATTTCAGAATGGTATGACCACTGTCCATTTTAGAAAATTTTCGTCTCCCTAACATGAAACCCCTGCCCCATTGGCAGTCATTAGCTGCCCCCTCTGCCCGGGAAATCCCTACTCTACTTTCTGCCTCTAGAGCTGTGCCTACTCTGGACACTTCACAAGCAACGGCTATCATACCATGTGCAGACTCTTGTGACTGGCCCTGTCATTCAGCCTCAAGTGTTCAAGGCTGATGCATGCCATAGCTCGTGTCAGTGCTCCATCACCTTTGTATTGCTGCCTAATGCTCCCCTGTGTGCATCGACCACACTCTGACTCTCCATCCACCACTAGGTGGACATTCAGCATCCTTTCTGAATTTAATATACTAACTGTAAGGACAGCTGTGACCTGCTGAGTACCTACCCCGTGCAGGTACTTGACCTAATTTCTAACTCTAACAACAGTCCTGACAAAGAAACTGCTGTGTAGCGGGGAAGTGGCCCATGCAAGGTCACACTGGTGATGGGGTAGGATGACAAACAAATTGATCAGGTCCCTCCCTGTCCTTCCCCCCACAGCACCCCACTGCCTTGCCACCCCATGTGCTCTGCTCCCTCCTTCCACATGGCTCTGAGCCCAGAATAGGAACCCTTTTGCCCAGTGACTGTTACTGAACAAGCCCCAGCTGGTGCCAAGCTGTTGGCAAATACACATTAGTCACCGAGCCAGACCC